GAGAGAGAGAGAGAGAGAAAGAGAGGGTCTGAAGAGAGTAATCGACAGTGGATCCGTTAGCTACCGAGGGATGAAAGGTAGCAGCATCCGCGAGGATCGTAACGCACGAGAATACCTCGCGTTTTCGTTTCTATTTGACGACGACAACGACAACAACGACGAGACGACGACGACGACGACGACGACGACGACGACAACGACGAGAACGAGGACATGGACATTGACGGAGAGTGATGCTGCGCGACGATCGATGACACGCTCGTGACAGCGCGGTCGGATTTGCAAGTTCGAGCGATCCGCGAGTTCGATCGCGTCGTACGAGAAGTGACGAACCGGTGAACCGGTGAATCTGTGAAAACAGTGGGAAGTAACGATCGACCGAAGTGCTCGCGAGAGATCTCGCGATCGATATCGAGCTGCAACGACGAAGTGGACCGAAGTGCGTGCGAGTGATAACTCCGGTCAACGACGCGATAATCGGTCTGATCGTGCTGGTATCTCCGTCAAATCGACGATGAGACCGTTACGCGTGTCATAACTCGTCGGATGCAGCAGGTAAGTGTCGTGACACATAATATAAATTTAAATAGCGAAAGAAACAAGTATATATGCTTGTCGAGAAAAGCAAATCGTAAAGAATTAATATATCTATAGAAATATACTTATTCAAGTATAAAACGAATTTATATCATCTACAAAAAATAATTTGGAATTGTAATTTTAGTTGGAAAATAGTGTAATAAATTATTTCATTTTTTAAAAATACTCATAAATATATATAGATCGCTGAATAAATCTTTAATTATATTTAAAAGCTGATATAGATTAGTAAGAATAGATTAATTCATCCGCGGCGTATGGTTTCATTCCTATTAATTCACGATTTAATATTCATACGATTCATACGATTCTATTGTTTATTTGACATAATGTAACATCTTGATGTAATTTTTATGTATAAATTCCATAAAATAATTACAATAATTTTACAGGATAATGAATGATATTAAAATAATAGCGAAAAGATTTTATGTAATATTACACATTTTTTTCAGTAGTCGCATAAAGTGTCATAAAATATTCCCTGCATAAAATATTCCCTGTCGTCAACTTAAAACTCGTATATCAATAAAAAAACCAACCATAAGGAAGGGAAAAAAGTCGTTCCTTCATTATTTACGGGGTGTATAGAGTTTCGTAACTAACAAGATCTTCTTCATCTTGTCGCGGGGAATAGCTTTGTCAAAAGTATGTAATATTTCAAGATATATTTTACGCAAGGTATATTTTACGCTCGTCTCCTTTTATTGTTTAACGCGATGTCATATCTGTGAAGCGAAAGTGGAGGCTTCGTGCGCAATCTTTGAATAGAAAGTGAATAAAGCGCGAGGTTGGAGCACGGGCGATATTTTATGCGCGATTTTATTTTATTCCTATTTCGTTGTATTGTACATCACTATAAATCCCTCGTGCCGGCTCGCAATTTTTGTTATGCTTTTACTCTTTAACGTGATCAATCATCACATATGATAACGGAGTCGTATCTAGCTTTTAACAACTAAAGATTTTCCATACGCAGATGTCATTGTAAAATCATTGGTTAATTTAGTGGATGAACTTCATAACTTTTTCCCTCTTCCCGACCAACGGTAATTATTAAACGAGAAAATATTATGTGATAAGATTATTAACGTAAAAAGCAATAATCTTTATTACGTTCCCCGAGACCGTATATTATGTACCTCGTTACGATGACAAAGCGTCCGTGCACCGTCGAGAAATAACCGTTCGTTTTTGCCTCATAACTATTCCGTCGGCGGAAACTACGGTTGAACTCAAGTTCAACTCATAAATATTTTTCTCACGAAATTTAATCAAGCTCCATACTTTAATTCCCTGTACAAGCGCGTGCTTACTGGTAAAGCCATAAGTCTTCCATGTTCTTCTGCCGGGTTAAGCCGGGTCAGAGGACCGGGTATTGTGGACGCGGGGACATTACCTCCCCTGTCTCACGTATGGAGTAACACTCCTCTCCAGTGCGTATTTTGCGCAAAATACATTGCGTGCATGTGTGAGTGGCACGCGTGTGAAGGCTGGGGTCAAGGACAGAGAAGGGAAGAGGTGTGGGGGAGGGAAGGAAAGGGACGCGGAAAGGGTCGGCGGTGCTTTCTCTTTATCTGATTGCAGAACGACGGCGGCGGCGGCAGCGAGCCGGTTATGGGGATGTCGAGGGGATGCGAGGATATCGCGAGATGACGTTCTCCATCGTGCTCGCCGTTTACTGACGCAATCCCGACCGGATAACGAAGACGATTGGCAGGATGCTGCCGCACGGGCTGCCGCTGATCGTCCTCCTCCTCATCCTCGTGCAGCTACGTTATCGTGTCATCTGGTGAGCATCGTCACTCGAATCCTCTCCCTATCGTGGAAAATCGCGGAGGATAACAATGCTGATGCCCTCCCGCCGTGTTCCAATTGTAACGCACACGTGACACGCATACGTCCTCGAC